AGTAGAAGAGAGGAGACAAATGCTAAGCCGCGACCAGGTGCATTGAGTACTGAGCAATTCCAGGAAAGGTTGATGTTGATGTGACATCATTTTTAAAAAGCTCCATGCTTACAACTTAGTTATGATTCCGTTAAACTAATTGAGTCTTACCTTAGTAATAGAGCTCAGGTGGTGAGATGTGATGGAGTGACATCAGCGGAGCAAAGTGTTAATATTGGCGTCCCAGAGGGCAATTCTTTTTTTAATTTACATAAATGATTTACCTCTCAATAACAATATGGCAAACTTTACTCTCTTCGCGGATGATACGACCGTCTCTCACACCGCTAACAGTTTTGAGCACTCGATGGCACTGTCTCTGGCTGCGCAGGATGAGGCTGAGCTGTGGTTTTGCTCCAATAAGCTGTTGCTAAATAAAGATAAGACAAAGAGAATGGTGTTCTCCATGCGAAGCCTGCCTGGAGACAGTGATCTGGTTGGTAAATCCAAGTTTCTGGGGGTTACTTTGGATCCAAGATTGCAATGGGGCCTTCACATTGACAGTGTTGCTGGAAAGGCCACCAAAGGTATATATGTGTTCCGGAGTCTGTCTTCTTGTGTTTCTGTAGCCATACTGAGAATGGCTTACTTTGCCATTTGCCATTCACATATATCCTACGCCATTCTGGCTTAGGGGCATTCTTCAGGGATCCATAGACTGTTCGCCTTGCAAAGAAGAGCAGTCAGGGTTGTGAGCCGTTTGGGACGATTGCAGAGATACCTTTGTCAAGTTGGGAATCCTTACTGTGCCTTGTTTATATATTTTCGAAAATCTACTATTCGTTAAAAGAAACTCTAACTATGTAACTCATGGGGACGTCCATGAGCACAATACTAGGCATAAGAACAATCTAGTACCTCCTTATTGGCGACTGAGAAGGTGTCAAGATGGACCTGGTTATGGGGCGGTCAAATTTTTTAATGTACTTCCAGACGGCTTAAAATAGCTTCCGTTTAAAGATTTTAAAGTTCAAATCCAGAAAATTCTTATTGATAACTCATTTTACACGAAGAGTTTTCAAGACATAAGTTTTAACTATAAATCTTAATATGTTTTGTTAGCGTTATATCTTTATGAGTGCTGGTATACTTGTTTGTAATTTTTTATGATCATTAGCACTCCCTTTGTTTTAATTCTAATGCAATTCTCATTTGATCTACTGACGTCTGTAAACATATTTTATGTATTGTGACATGAATAAATAATTTCAATTTCAATTTCAATGTTAGTGTGAGTATAAGATCGGTCCACCGTATCGTACACAAATTGAGTTACAGCAAAGTTTGTGCGCAATCTCGCCTTTTGACATCAGTGCCATAAAAAATAAAAACTTGACTGGCGGACGGATGGCAAATGACAACCCTACCCTTGTACCCTTACGGTACAGCCTAAAAGTGATTAAAATATTAAATCTAATATATAAATCAAGAATTTATTGTTAGATAACAAAATTAATTCTTCTTTTTTGTTTTCCTGCGAATCGATTAATATTACCATCTCCTTTGAGCCCAATGCAACAACTTTTTTGTAGTTTTGTCCGTCACAGTGATGGATTTAAGTAATGGCAAAATGGACATTGCCGCCTGGGCCCCCCCCAAGGAACGGTGGTCACAGGGCTCCCCCAGCAAAAATCAGCTCTAGTGCCTATATTGTTCAGCGCGTCTGAATGTGAAATTAATAACAAGATGTCAGAGTGTTGTTATATTCTTTTAATGACCATCTGCGTAATGGTTATGAAACAGCGCGTTATAATTCAGTTTGAATAAGAAAATTTCCCTTTCATTTCTTAAGAAATTTTTTGAAAAATGACTATTTCATTTCTAAAAAAATGACCGAATGACCCTTTTATTTCTCAAGGAGTGGAGGGGTTTTATTTTGTGCGTACAGTGATATATTATTACCTGGTATAAAACGTCCAGACAATAAATATCTTCGTGGTATGAATCAGCCTCTTTCAGTCTAATCAAGACTCTAATGCGCCTATTATAGTCTTTTCATGTCTTCAGTGCTTATAGCATAAACTTTCACAACACTGTGTATTTTTTATTTGATGACATATCTATTTTCTTCCTGATAATACCGTGGAAGACATTTTTTGAATGTATTATCAATTGCATAGAAGATGAAGAGTGGGAAGATATACTCAGTGACATATAAATCTGAACACCCAGTTTAAATGGTTTTATTTTAATAAAATTTTGTATAAGTACTTAATGAAGCATAATAAATAAATGGTAAAAATTTCAAAATCATTGCACTGCTTTAAAGCCCTTTGACCTTTAATAATGTGTGGATGCACCCTGATGTGCTACGCATTCTCCAACGCACCTAGGCATGTTTCTGATTAGGTGGTCAATGTCCTCCTGTGGTATCTCATTCCAGGCAACCACCAACTCCTCTCGAAGTGCTTCTAGAGTCTGAGGAGGACGTTGCAAATTGAGCAATCTCCTACCCATCATATCCCACACGTGCTCAATTGGGGATAAGTCGGGAGATCTTGGTGGCCATGGTAGTAATGTGACATCATTATGTTGAAAGAAGTCTATTGTGACTCTTGCAACATGTGGTCGGGCATTATCTTGTTGGAAAGATGGATCTGCCAGGGTGTCAAGATAGGATAAAAGATGGGGTTCTAGCACTTCGTGGATATAACGCTGCGCGTTCATGTTACCTCTGATGGAGATTAAAGGTGACCTGGAACCATAAGCTATAGCACCCCAAACCATAACTCCAACAGTGTGATGAACATGTCTTTCAACAAAAACTCCTTTCACCACGTCGCCTTCTAACCCTGGCACGACCATCGTGCATGCCTAAACAAAATCGAGACTCGTCACTAAAGACAATACTGTTCCATTCCTGATCCCAGAGTGACCGTTGTCTGCACCAGTCAAGGCGATTACGTCGGTGTTCTCGAGTTAAAGGGAGGACCCAGTGTGGCCGGTATGAAAACAAGCCAAAACTTCTCATTCGTCGGTAAACACTTCGCATGCCAATAGGTCTTCCGTGTTCTGCAAACCATTCATTTGTAATGGACCTGGTAGTGGAGAAACGGTCCCTTAAGGCCAATAATCTTAGGCGGCGATCTTCACGGTCTGTTGTTCTAAGGCGGCGTCCAGTGCCCTTTGCTCTTTGCGTACGGCCTTCTCGAAGCCATGCCTGACAACACCTAACCACAGTGTCTACACTTCTTTGAACTCTAACTGCAATTGCCCGAAAAGAAAGTCCAGCTTCCCGAAGTCTCACTATACGGCCCCTATCAAACTCACTAAGTTGATGCAATCGTACAGGTCTCCGTACTCTAGGCATCGTAACCGATCGTAAAGGATGTCAAGAACCAAAATCCGCCAACGTTGATTCTTTACTGCGGCTGAAATATTCATTTTTAGAGCGTTAGTGAATTAAAAAAAAACAGTATAAAAACCGGAATGTCCAACTGATAAGGCTGGAAATTTTTTCACTTGTTATTTACAGTAAGATAAATACATTCACCAACTTTTATTAAAATTAAACCATTTAAACTGGGTATCGGATTTATATGTCGCTTAGTATATAATGAATGAAAGATCTCTCCTTTCCTCCATGAACTGGACCTTTTTCCTCAATTTGTTATGCTGGCATTCAGTATTGAGCATAACGAATACTGTGCAAGTCCAAAAGCAAAAGAAAGAAATAGACTTGATGATGGCTCAAAGGTGCATTTCAGCAGCATTAAAAAAATTAAAATATTTGAGGAGAGAAAGCACATACGATAATGTTGTTCTGAAGACTAAGAATAAATGGGAAGAGATGGAATGGGAAAACTGTATGTTTTAATAAATGATTCCTATAATTGCGAATACATATTTTTTAACTTAGCATAATTAACACCAACCTGTATACATCTGTTCATAAATGTAATGCAACCAGCCGATAACAGAGAGGGCAAGCGTCATTGATCAGAATCCTGTAATCAATCGTCGTTTTAGTTTCGTTATGAGTTAGTATTCGACGCAATCATCAGATGGCGCTGTCAACAGTGGCACTAGGAATCATAGGAGAAAGTGTCTATAGTGTAGCTGATAATCTGTGCTATCAGTCGTCAAAGTAAAAGGATGACAGCGTATATCTCTTGGAAGTCTCGTCCCGCCCAAAACTGAATTAAACTCCCGGAAGTTTTCGAACTCCGCGACACACAACCGCTGGACAGTTTTCTTAGAAATCTCGTCTAACAGGAGGCGATATAAAGAGAATGTACAATGCACCAGCATCCACCTTTGTGTGCGTGAGTTTCTGGAGATCGAGTGCGGAGTTGGCGGCAACTTCATTATCTCTTCACGTAATTTCTGAATTAGGTTTCGCGCTGCTGGTCAAGGAATCTCGACTACACTCCGCAGAAGATCTTGTCAGTGGAAGTTCGGGGGTTTAAGGACTTACTTTCTAAAGTGACTAGATACAAGCTGTCCTAGAGCAAATCTGGACTGAAAATATGTTCGGTTGAGTCCAAATTCTGCCATTTGTCAAGAAAGCAGCTAAAATTTGTTGAAGTTCTATGTAATTTTTTTGTGTGCTTATCTTGGCAATAAAACCATTTTATTATTATTATCATCATTATCATTATTATCATTATTATTACATATTATTATTAATAGTCAGAGTAGTATGTTCGCATCTGATGGGAAAAATATTCTGATTTGGATTTTTTGCATAATTTTATTTCAGTCTGCATGCTGCCAGCCCCAAATTTACATCAAAAATTTTTTAAACAGTTTTCTTCAAAAATCCAAAAAAACATTTATATTCCGCTCCGGTCGAATTGTGTTTAGAATTTTTCTCTAAAGTTGATAATTTTCGAGCTATGAGCGGTACAATATTTGAAAAAGTGCAAAATATGAGATTTTGTCACCGAAAGACAATATGAAAAAACAAACATTGTAGTGTTTTAGGCTGACAATACAACCTCAAGCTAAAATCTAGTACTTTTTTCACTTGTATTATAATATTAATAAATTTTAACAACAGGAATAGCCGTTTTTTTTTCTTCGCTGCTGAAATATACTTGTGACGAAAGAAGGTGGCAAATGCGACACTTAACAGATATTTATCAACTTGTTTGCATTTTTAGCGCATTAAGGGTTGATTAGACATTGCATTGGTCTCCTTTTTTACCACCATTTCTACAGTCCCGTCTTTAGGGCCTACCGAGCTAAACATTTGTATAAGCAATGTTTAAAAAACCTTACCTTATAGTTATAGTTTGCTACAAACTTATTTGTAAAGCCTACCGTATTTTGATAATTATCACCAGTCCTACGACATTTAAAATTGATCTGTTGAGAAAGTGTGCATCATAAGGAAGAAATATACCCCTGGGAACATTGGTGAGGTATTTGCTCGCTTGCATATCAGTTTCGGCCATTTTTATCTTCAGAATCTGACATAGAGTAGTCAGAAATCAGGTAAAAGTGCTGTACTGAGTGTTACTCTAGACTGAAAGTCGAAAATGAGCAAGAAGAAAAAGAAAAATGAAGAAGACGGTAAAAATCAAGTGGATAGCCATAAAATTATAGCCATTAAAAATGAAAATGATTTAGGAACAGCACAAAATCAAGAAATTCGGACGATAATAAATAATGACAAAAATACGGAAGCAGCACTTAAACAAGAAATGAAGTCACTTAATGAGAAGATTGACCTACTGATTGAATTACATGCTGAAAAGGATAGGCTAGTTCAACAATTGTCCAATGAAAATCGTAGGTTCCAAGAGCACTGCGATCTATTAGAAACCGAGGTCGTAGAAAAGGACACTATTATCAGCACACTGGAAAGACTAAATATACTAAGTGACATATAAATCCGAACACCCAGTTTAAATGGTTTTATTTTAATAAAATTTTGTATAAGTACTTAATGAAGCATAATAAGTAAATGATAAAAATTTCAAAATGATTGCACTGCTTTAAAGCCCTTTGACCTTTAATAATGTGTGGATGCACCCTGATGTGCTACGCATTCTCCAACGCGCCTAGGCATGCTTCTGATCAGGTGGTCAATGTCCTCCTGTGGTATCTCATTCCAGGCAACCACCAACTCCTCTCGAAGTGCTTCTAGGGTCTGAGGAGGACGTTGCAAATTGAGCAATCTCCTACCCATCATATCCCACACGTGCTCAATTGGGGATAAGTCGGGAGATCTTGGTGGCCATGGTAACAATGTGACATCATTATGTTGAAAGAAGTCTATTGTGACTCTTGCAACATGTGGTCGGGCATTATCTTGTTGGAAAGTTGGATCTGCGAGGGTGTCAAGATAGGGAAAAAGATGGGGTTCTAGAACTTCGTGTATATAACGCTGCGCCTTCATGTTACCTCTGATGAAGATTAAAGGTGACCTGGAACCATAAGCTATAGCACCCCAAACCATAACTCCAACAGTGTGATGAACATGTCTTTCAACAAAAAACTGTGGATTCCTCATTTCACCACGTCGCCTTCTAACCCTGGCACGACCATCGTGCATGCCTAAACAAAATCGAGACTTGTCACTAAAGACAATATTGTTCCATTCCTGATCCCAGAGTGACCGTTGTCTGGACCACTCAAGGCGATTACGTCGGTGTTCTCGAGTTAAAGGGAGGACCCAGTGTGGCCGGTATGAAAACAAGCCAAAACTTCTCATTCGTCGGTAAACACTTCGCATGCCAATAGGTCTTCCGTGTTCTGCAAACCATCCATTTGCAATGGACCTGGTAGTGGAGAAACGGTCCCTTAAAGCCAATAATTTTAGGCGGCGATCTTCACGGTCTGTTGTTCTACGGCGGCGTCCAGTGTCCCTTGCTCTTTGCGTACGGCCTTCTCGAAGCCATGCCTGACAACACCTAACCACAGTGTCTACACTTATTTGCACTCTAACTGCAATTGCCCGAAAAGAAAGTCCAGCTTCCCGAAGTCCCACTATACGGCCCCTATCAAACTCACTAAGTTGACGAAATCGTACATTTCTCCGTACTCTAGGCATCGTAACCGATCGTAAAGGATGCCAAGAACCAAAATCCGCCAACGTTGATTCTTTACTGCGGCTGAAATATTCATTTTTAGAGCGTTAGTGAATTAAAGAAAAGCAGTATAAAAACCGGAATGTCCAACTGATAAGGCTGAAAATGTTTTCACTTGATATCTACCGTAAGATAAATACATTCACCAACTTTTATTAAAATAAAACCATTTAAACTGGGTGTTCGGATTTATATGTCACTTAGTATATTTGAAAAATCAACCGCAACTAAGAATATCTCATATTCTCAGATAGCTGCAAGTAAAGCATCACCAAACAAAGAGACAAGATCTTTGAAAAGCATAATCATTACACCTGATCAACACCAACCAAACTACGAGATCAGATATGATCTCAACAAAAACTTAGACATCTCGAAACTTCAGATAGGTAACGACAAGGTCAAAAACAGCAGAAATGGAGCTGTAGAAATAAACGTTCAAGATTGTGTTCATAACCAATTTAAACAAGAAATCGAAAAAATATGCCTACATTCTACAAGGTATCTGAACCAAGAATGTTCAAGCCAAAAATCAAAATAGTTGGTAATCGTTAGGAGGAAAAAATTACCGAAATAGAAGTACAAGAAGAAATTATAAAACAAAATCACTTTGTGGCTAACGGAGATATATCCGTCACTCATATTAATTATGTTGCGCTCAAAAAATGTTACATTATTTTTGCTGAAGTGACAGGTAAGCTATTTAGATATATTTTTGATAATAACAAAGGAAACATTTTATTAGGATTTGAAGATATTATCGTTTATGACAACAATATAGTATCACATGGTAAAAATTGCTTAAGGTTTAATCATTCAATGAAAAAATGTCAAAATTGTAAAGTATGTTCAAAATGTGGAGAACACCATGACATTTCCTCCTGCAATCAATCAACCACCAAATGTTGTAACTGTGTGTCTGCCAACCACAAGTAAAGGGTTGTCCAATAGGGACGCAGGAAAGTAAACGTCAATTTGACATAGACGCCATCTTTGTTTTCTGTCACCGACATGTCATTTTGTTAGTGGAATGTTTACCATTGATCGCTATGGAGTCGTATTCGATTGAAAACCGCATTAAAGTTATTCAAGAGCACTACAAAAATGGTGCAAAAATAAAAAACACGTTTCGCGCGCTTCGTGAACATTTCGGTCGCAACAACCGCCCAAACGAAACAACCATCGGTCCTCTGGTGCGTAAATTCGAAGCAACAGGTTCTGTGGCAAATCTGCCAGGCTCTGGCCGGCCAAGGAGCGTTCGCACACCGGAAAATATTGCTGTTGTGAAGGAGAGTGTGAGAGACGATCCGGAAACAATCAACAACGCGTCGATCCCAAGAATTGGGCATTTCGAGAACCAGTTTGCTCCGCATTCTCCACAAGGATTTGACTGTACACGCCTACAAGATCCAATTGACGCAAGAGCTGCGTTGGGCCGACCATTTTTCGCGCCGAACGTTCTCAGATTGGCTCCTTGAACACCGCCAAATTGATGCCAATTTTTCATCAAAAATCATGTTCAGCGACTAAGCGCATTTCACTTTGAATGGGACGGTAAACAAGCAAAACTGCCGCATCTGGGCGAACGAAAATCCCCGTGAGTATCAAGAGCAGCCGATGCATCCTCAAAAAGCGACTGTGTGGTGTGCACTGTGGTCAAAAGGCATCATCGGACCTTACTTTTTCGAAAATGCGGCCGGGGACGCCGTTACCGTCAATTCTGAGCGATATCACGTGATGATAGAGGACTATTTTTTGCCGCAACTTGAAGGAATGGATATGGACGATGTTTATTTCCAACAAGACGGTGCAACATGCCACACAACCAACGTCAAGATCCATCGATTGCAGTCGTTCTCCGGTGATCGCGTTATTTCGCGCAGAGGAAATGTGCCATGGCCACCAAGATCGTGCGATTTGACTCCCTTGGACTTTTTTTTATGGAGATATTTGAAAAGCAAAGTCTACGTCAACAAACTAGCCACCCTCCAAGAACTCAAAAACAACATCACTGTCGAGATAAATGCCATAGAACCGACCATGTTGCAAAATGTCATTGAAAATTTCGACCATCCCGTGGACGTCTGTAAATCCAGTCGTGGTGAACATTTGAGCGATATTATTTTTCATACATAAATGGTATAAATGAACCTTCAAAATAAAGTACCCAACTTGATTTGAATATCAATCTTTCTTGTTTTAATATGAGTTTACTTTCCTGCGTCCATTTTGGACAACCCCATACAACAAACAATATGATACAAATCATGATCCAACTGATAAAAAATGCACTACTTTCAAAATCTTCCAACAACAACACATATCACGAGTTTTATGTTGAGAAGTGGATCTTATGTACAAAATTTAATTCTAAATTATGAAAGAAAACAAACCTTTTAAATTTGGTCACTTAAATATTCGGTCTCTATCTGGTTGTGCCTACATGTTGGAAAATTCTGATTATGATATTTTAGCTCTATCCGAAACATGGCTCAATAAAAACATCTTAGATAGTCTTTTGTATATTCAACGATATACATTCTATCGAAAAGATAGGGAGAGTCGCGGTGGAGGCGTGGGCATTTACGTGAGAAATGGTTTGCTCCGTGAAGAATTACAGATCGAGAACCATATTGGCTACTTTCCTAGTGTTGAGAATATGTGGATTAAATTGAAATTATGTGGTCAAACTCTTGCCTTTGGGGTAATTTACCGACCTCCCCATAACAATGTTGCTGAAGCCATTGATTTTTTTGATAATGCTCTCTCTTTCCTGGTACCCAACTTTGATTATGTTGTAGTTGTTGGAGATACGAATATAAATCTTTTAAGTTCGGACAACAAATGGATTCCATCAAGTTATTATAGAACCCTCTAGAATAACTAGTACTTCGAGCAGCCTACTGGATCCCATATTTATCAATGATCTTCAAGTCTGTTCAAATTCTGGGGCTATAAATTGGATTTATTTACCGATCATTTTTTAGTATTTTGTGAAACAACTTTGCAGTCTAAAAAACCTAAGCAGAGAAATTCAGAGACTTTAAAAATGTTGATATTTTATCATTTCAAAATGATATTTTAAACTTTCCCTGGAGCATTATATATTCCGAAGAGAGTATTGATCACAAAATTTCATATTTGACAGATGGGATTAAATTAATTTTTGATAAGCATGCACCTCTAAGAATTGTATGTGTACCTAAATAAACCGCATGCACCCTGGCTATCATCCAGCTTAAACGTATGATGAAAAACAGAGACAGAGCTTTAAATCAGTTTAAAATAATAAGACAGAAGATTAAGTCAAATTAGATATGAAAAAGCAGCATATTCATTATCTCTCCGTCAAATGTTTTATAGATCCTTAAAATCAATGCATATCCAACAGTCACAAAATACCGACATTCCTCTACATTTAAAGAACCCTACTGACACTAATAATTATTTCTGTTACATCTTTCATAACACCATTTGTTCATGCACAGAGAAGATTGAGCATTATGAAAAGAATCACTATTCTAGTGATCGATTCAAGTTTAAACCAATCGATATGACTGATTTAAAATCGATGTTCCAGTATCTGAAATCGAATGCT